CTGGTGGACCAGAGCATGATCGTGCTGAGGAAGAGGATCCACGAGATGAAGATGGCGGAGACCAATTACGAGGCGCCGTCGGAATGGATGGACTGGGAGAAGCGGTACTACACCAGCTACCACGCCGACGTGTGCGAGATCCTGTGCCTTCTGCAGACGCTGCTGATGGACACACGGCCCAGCTTGGCTATCGGGATGATTGCCGTCGTCGTGCTAAGCGTGCCCACGTCTGCCATCTTCATCGCCTTCCATCTGATGGCGGCCGCGAACTCGATCCTGGCCGGAACGCACCTCGGTTGATCGAGGTTTTCGTGTTCCATCTGTGTCCTACGAGTCTTAGTTTGACGCATCTGTAGCATATTTTTATTCTTTCATCCTGCCATGTATACGATCGAATGCTTCAGCAAACGCTAATTATTGGTGGTCTCTCAACAATTATTATTTGACTCGAGCGGCGCCTTAGCATTCTTTATCATTAAGCCATGTGCAAACGACCTTATTCATCGCGAATACAAGATTGTCAGACTTGTGGATCAACCTATACGTTGCTATCACAATCACTGCTCAAGTTAAACATGAGAAACCATAAACTGGAGCTCTCTCGCTAGAGGATGATGTGGATCCTAGTACTGCATGACGGTGGAAGATACTGTATCTCTCTCCAAACTGAGACTGTAATAGTTAAATAAAGCCTGGATTCGCTAATGACAAATTGGTGCCGTGTCAGAGTAGTGCAGTTGGGAGAGAATCCAACCCATAGCTTCTTGGATACCTCCTGAAGAAAAGAAGGAACTCGAACCTCAAATCATTCCAGCATCCATTGATAGCTGCGTTCTTAATATCGTAACAGTACATTCCACTAGGCAAGTGGCCCTTGTTCTACGCCAGATCAAAATCTCGTGTGCAGTCCTAATCATTGATCGACCATACATTGAACAAACTATAATTTTTGACTGGCTTCGGGCGTTTCGTGATAGGACCGCACTACCTTGGCAGGAACACTCGAGACGGAACGGGATTAGGCTGGCAGACCTAATCTGTTCCTCACCACTGAATAGAACGAAGCGGAAACAGAGCACGCTGCCCCCACACGCTCGTTCATAGCTTCCGCCATCGACGCGAGACAAATCCGAGTCTACGCGGGTGAGTCGCAATCATTCACAAGTCCGACAGTGCTGCCGAATCTTCCTCGGCTGTGACTGAACCCGCTTTGAGGTAATAAGACGGATTGGGCGTTCTTCGTCGGCACTGCTGAACATAGTGCATGTTTTGTCTTCACATGTTTACCAGCTCCAGAACCGGTAGCCCCACCACAATGGCTCAGGTTCAATGCATCTTTTCCATGGAGTGATGGTATCGATAAAGCCAAGTCGCCTTCACGTCGACGCGACTGATGTGGGATGGGTACCGGAAGAGGCAATTAAGCCTTTACTCCGAATCATCCACCTCCGACGCCGTACCTCCCAAAATTGTAATAGTCATTATGTGCACGATTAATACAAGAAGATAGACCCATGAGAAAACTATTGACCACGTCGTTGGCGTATTAGCTGCGTAATGCATTTTACCTCGAGACAATGCCGACTCTGATGTTTAAGTAGTAACTGCTGCTTGTACTGCGCTATAAATACTCTTACGTAAGATCATTACATGTCACGATAATTTGACTTTATCATCCTACTCATATTACTGGGGTAGAAATCGAACCTTCAATTCATTGACTTGACGTCTGGCCCATGCAGTAGCCGCCACCTAATAGAAGATGGTCTATAAACCTGGCTTAAAGATTAACAAAAAACAAAATAAAATAAAATACAAATCATCCAGAGCGAAAGAAGATTTACCTCGTATACCACGCTAGCTACAAGCACAAAAGAAAAAAATGGAGCAGAAATTTAAGCATACTAACAATTGGTCAAGAAATAGATACTACACTAAATTAAGCAAATCAAGTTGTGGAATATCATACTGGGATGTGCTTTAGAGGAGAAAGCAAAACAAGATATCATCTCATACCTCTTTGAGACAATCAAACATTTCATCCACCAGTTATGCAAACTTAAGAATAACCTATTAAATTGTCTATATTTCAAAAGAAAGGTAATCATGAGTGGGCACGAAACCACAGCGAGAGAGAGAAGAAGAAGAGAAGATTTTAGACAAAAGGACACAGTAGTGACCAACATCACAAGTTCTGTAAATGAACCAGAAACACGAGTTCGGTAGAAAAAGCACCGACCGAAATGCAAGAAAGAAAGAAAGAAACATCCAGATAACTTATTTACCGGAAGTAACCCTGCAATTGCGGTGAAGGAGTTTGTTCATTCATTGAAATACCTACAGGAATCCAATCATAAGTGGCACATTAAAAATAATATTTAAAAAAAAGGAACAGTATTTCCAATAAAAAAAATGGACCTTTTTGGGGTGCGGGATTATTGTAAATAAATAAAAATCTTACTTAGGAGGCAGATAGATTCCTTTGCAATTTTTTCAGCCTTGGTTGTAACTTCCTCAATCCCCTCCAACCATGTAAAAAGACTGCTCGGGAAGATCATCAATACTTCCCATCCATAACACCCTGCAAATATAGTAGAAAATAACTCATTAATAGTACTTACTGAAAATATAAAAATATATCATGATAGAAAAGCAGTGAAATTGAACGTCTTCCTGAGATTACGCCCTAAACTTTTTACCAAGAGGTTTTTTACTTACCTCTTCAATAATTTGGTTATTACATTAAACCAATAGAAAATTCAATGCAAACTACATAATCTATCACCAAGAGGAATACATACATATATAAAACATGGACATTGTATTACAGTGCATCATAAGCCCTAAACTTCTTACCAACACAACAATAATCACATCTGCAATTTAACATATCATAATTGATTAGATTTGTCATCACCAGCAAAGTGCAAGTACGAATAACATGATAGAGAAGCAATATCGTGTATTAATAACTCGATGGCAGAGAAGCAACACCCTGTACTATAAATAGCTTCATATAGAAGGCAACACTGTGCTGCCAGAAAAAGAAAAGGGGAAAAATATATGATATATATTCTTCTCGTTGCGTTTGTCCGAACAAATGATGTCCTTGCATGAGTAAAACATAAACTATCCTCCAAATGGCCCAAGACTATGACAGTTGAATTGGCATTCAACGATTAGTTGACTAATAATTGTAGTAGAAGACCTGACAGAATATGAACTCTACTTTTTTTTTCAGAGTTTTGGTTATTTTCAGCTTTTCCTTAAAGATTGTAGGAAAGATTGTCTATGGTTCTGCTTCTCTGGTTGGTCTATATTTATCCCACTAAATCAAATGAACTCAAACATACGAAAAATACACTATAAATAACAAAAAGAAGATATTATTATAAGAACCCCAAACATTCCTTTTGATTCAAACAAGAAAGTAATGAAATACTACATGGAACTTCTATCCATAAATGAAAACCAGTTTGCAAATGTGTTTGGATGCTATATATATGCATAAATAATAAGCAAAACCAGGGAACGAAATTTCACGTATTTGCAGAAATGATGACAGAAAAACTCGGTACAGAGTCATGCATGGCACCAAAATGGTGCTTCGTATCATCAACTTAACTAATATTATAAAAAACATTTACTAGTTTTATTTAATCCAAAAGAAAACTCAAGTGGCAATTTCCTACTAATTAATGATCAAAATTTAGGATCTACTAACTAATGGGTGGAACTCAGGGGACAGCATTACACACGAAGCCCCTAAGAGCCAGTCCCAATATATTCTAACTCAGAATCATATAATTTAGGGTTGACAAAATGAAATGTAAATATTTAAAACCAGCAGAACTTTTCACAAAATCTATTGATACTATAATGCCCAACAGTCGCAATAAACCAGTACTTTTAAAATCATTTTCATCACCTGGAAGCTGTTAACGCTCTCCTTCAGTTCTACATACTTCCCAGGGACACCAGTGACCACCTCAGCAACATGGAAAGGCTGGCTCAGAAATCGCTGGATCTTCCTAGCTCGAGCCACGGTTAATTTGTCATCTTCACTAAGTTCATTCATTCCCAAAATTGCAATAATATCCTAAAGATTCTTGTTGTTCTGGAGGACGTTTCGAACACCACAAGCAGTGTTGTAGTGCTCTTCACCCAATACGTGAGGAGAAAGAATTCTTGACATAGAATCAAGAGGATCGACAGCAGGATAAATACCAAGCTCAGAAATCTAGTCAGGAAACACATCAATGTTAGACAAAAAACACAAAAGAGACATTCATAAAGATCAAAACCAAGGAAAAGAAACCTGTCTTGACAACACGGTTGTGGCATCAAGATGAGCAAAGGTAATTGCAGGTGCTGGATCAGTCAAGTCAACAGCAGGCACATAAATAGCTTGTACAGAGGTAATATAACCCTTTTTTTTGTTGTGATATGCTCTTGAAGTCCTCCAAGATCAGTAGCTAAAGTTGGTTGGTAACCAACTGCAGAGGGAATATGACCAAGCAAAGCAGACACTTCAGAGTTGGCTTGAAGAGCAAGTCTAAGGAACTTAGCATCAGAAAACTTATACCTGCTTATAAAAGATCAGATCAGATTACTGAAAACTCACTTGGGTGAACTGAAAAATTTTGTCAATGAACAGAAGCACATCTTGCCCTTCAGCATTTCGGAAATGCTCAGCCACTGTCAACCCAGTGAGCCCAACACGAGCACGAGCACCAGGAGGTTCATCCACTTGACCACATGTTACCATTTAAGTTGAAAGTCAGCATTACAACCAGATATGGTTAAGTTGACAAAGCCAAGTAGTCACAGACTCGTCTATCTCCAAGCTTAATCACTCCACTCTCAATCATTTCCCTGTACAAGTCATTACCTTCACAGGTATGTTCTCCAACACCAATAAAGACCGAGAAACCACCTGGATAGGGGTAACTGATAAATGCATAATCTAAAAGGATATCTCATCAGCTAAAAAAATTAACTGAGTGACCAAACATGAGCCTTGGCAACATTATTAATCAGTTTCATAATAAGTACAGTTTTCCCCACACCAGCACCTCCAAACAGTTCAATCTTACCACCTCTCTGGCAAGGTGCAAGAAGATCCACTACCTTCAGGAGAGGAACACAAGTAGCAGGAAGTGCGCAAAAAGAATTGCTAGTCAAAACTAAGGATGATAACCAAAGTGCAGTTTACTGTATTATAGAAGGGCCTGGACCTTGATTCCAGTAACAAAGATCTGTTGTTCTGTTGCCTGCTCGACAAAAGCAGGTGCTTCACAATGAATGGGAAGGAAGTCGTTGGTCTCTAATAAGGTAGGGTGACAAAAAGTAAACCATAAACACCAATGAAGATATAAAAAATGATAAGAAATGCTACTGAATGAACATTAATTTTCATGACCAAAGATAATCAAGCACAGGAAGCTTACTTATTTCACCCTTCTCATCAATTGGTTCTCCAATAACATTCATGATCTTCCCAAGGGTGGCCCTACCAACAGGTACCTGAAATGTAATATTTAGTAATAGAGAAGTTTAAGCAAACACAACCACATATATATTAAACTAGTAAAATGAAAGAATGCTCCTAGATAGTAAGAATACTGAAGATGCCACTGGAGAAAAAATAACTAACATTAGGAAATCAATTCCTAGATCGAATTCTGAATAACATCCAATTTAAAGAGTTAATAAAAGAAAAAAATCCTGTACATCAAAGGAGTAGAAATCTAATGCTCAAAGATGTAGAGTTTCAACATAAAATCCTGATTTTTCATGTCAGTTGTGTTTGCCATAGCCATAACATGACATATACTGCTTTAAGTATGGACACAAAGGTGCAGCAGAAAGAAGACTAGATAAAGAAAAGTAAGATAAGAACAGATACAATAAGTAGGAGGTAGTTAAGGTCATTATCAAGATACTGAAAAGTTTCAACTAATTTATCCCATTATAATATATATTAAACTAATACTTCTATTATGAGAAGGAAATTTTTAACATAAGATTCTAAGAGAAAAATCAATAATAAATTGTATAGATTCCTTGTAGGACAGCCTTCATGTTCTTTCATATCAGACTAATTTGATTTCGCATGATTGGTCATTTTATCGAATATTCTTCAAATCTGGAATCTTGTTTAGTTAACTGTTAACAGGCAGTTAAAACTTGTCTTACAATGTACTTATCAAAATCAAGATCGATTACCTTTGATATGTGTTTATTTGCATAAGCACAACTGTAGAACTTGGAAAATTAACAGAAGTCCAGGTCTAAGAGGACCCTAGGAAGAGCATCATGTGATAGTGGATTTTAGCCAATATCTAATTATGGTAAAAAATTGACCTACAGAAATCTTTATAGTCTGGCCAACAGGAAACTTGGGAGAGGATGCAACGCTAAGCAGTACTACGTATCCTAAAAAGGGTTCCCAGGGTAGTTACTAACTGTCTCAAGCCTGAATTAGATTGTGATCTAAACAGGAACCCAACTGGATAAAATCTTAACAAAATTGGACTCAAACTCAGATCCAAACAAAGTATTATTGGATTCGGATTGAACCAATTCAAGATCCAATTATAAATAATTACATTAGACTCATACATATCGTACTAACTAAGAAATCCAAGATCAACATGAAGATCTTAACCCAACAAATTACCTTCTCAAGTTTTTTCTAGAAAACAATCTGAAAGTCCACAATAAATAGAATGGTTCTTTTTTTTTGTTACTCGATCAAGTAGACAAAAATATCGATCAAATGCACACTTCACTTGATCCTTCACTAAACTACAAAAGAGCACATTCCACCCTTGGATGTTTCAAAATTTTGCTTGGTCTGAACTGTGGGCTCCTCTGTCCCTTCTTTTTTTTTTTTCCTTCACTTTATGCTTGATTTGCCAAGGATCACTTTTGATGATTAAGCTCCACTGTTTATAAGCTCAACAGAACCATAAATATTTTCTGATTGTGGTTTAACCTGATTCCAGTTTGGCAATTTGCTTCAAATAACTTTTTATCTGGAACCACAATCAGAATGGTTCATTCAGATTCTAAATAGTTTACATCGAGAAATCCTTTTCTGATTCCAATTCCTGAAAGGAATAAGATTCCAGACACTGATTTCAATCACATGACTTAACTGCTTGGATATTCTCTTTCCTATTAGGAACAAACTATTACCTTGCATTTTGTTACCCTGTTACATATTATCTTTTCCCCAGATGAGCCATAATCTCACTCCGTGATTCCCAATGTGTACATATGGAAAAATGGTTGTGCATCTCTATGTTAATGTAATGCCTCAAAGACTTTGTTTCAAAGAGTTTCCATAGACTAACCTGAAAAATCTGGTCAGATGTACAAATGACCGAACATGACATCTGCTGGAATACCATCACTGTAGGAGCTATTGTCAGCACTCTTTCATACTACCTCTTGCCTAGCCTTATTGCAAAAGAGTGTACCCTATCCCTTCTGTTGCATTACTTCGCCGTATCATGACATATCACTCGGTACAGGCAATACATACCGATCTGACAAGAGATCGGTATAGACAATACATCAGTACACTCCCATGTACTATATGTCTATATATTCAGTACAACTTGGTATGTATCGTACCAACAATTAGTCGGTACATCAGTACCGATCGGTAAGACGAACCATGAAAAAAATAATATCAAAAGGCTCCAAACCAAAACACCAACAAGTATCATTAATATCCATCATTGATTCCATTTCCTCTCCTGTGTCTGTCCGATTCTGATTATGATGCTGATTCCATATCCTGAAACAAACACAACTAGAACTCCTCACTGGCAACCGTATTATCGTTTCATCAAAATTATATCCGACAGTTACAATGTCAAGGATAAGTGTTTCAGATTCATTTGGAATCAACAATATCCAAAATTTGTACCGCAGATTATGGCATTGCTACAGAGATAAGAGATTTGAGAGGTAGGCTTACAGTGATCGGCGAGCCGGTGTTCAACACCCTCTGCCCACGAACGAGCTCCTCTGTCTCATCCATAGCGATTATCCTCACCATGTTCTCCCCCAAGTGCTGTGCCACCTCCAGGACAAGCCGGATCGAGTTGTCCAACACCTCGAGAGCCGTCAAGAATGGCGGCAACCCCTTGTCGAAGCGGACGTCGACGACGGCGCCGATCACCTGGCATACCTGCCCAATGGCACCCGCTCCGGTGAACTCATCCGTGATCTTGCCACTGGGACTGGCAGCGGTCTTCGGAGGCGGGGTCGATGGGGCAGGAGAGGGAGCAACCGCGGTGGCGTACTCGACGGCGAGGGAGAGGAAGAATCCAGCCGGAGAGGGTCGGGACGAGATCAGGGGCCTAGGGGTGGAGGCGGGGGGCCGCGGCGCCGTAGAGCGGCGAACTGAGGAGCGCAAGAGGGAGGCGAGGATCCGGCGGGAGGCCATGGCCGGATCGACAGGCCAAGGGTCTGGGGATTGACCGATGGGCACCAGATCTAGGGTTTTGATGGGTGACATCGTCGACCTTGTAATGTAACGCATTGACGAATCTGTGGCGATGCTGGCTGCATGTGCCGCGGGCGAGGATGGCAAGAGCGAGGCAAACATGGGCGGGTCCGATGGGGGTCAGCGGGGTCCGTGGAGGCAGGGGCGATTCAAGGAGGCGAGGGCGGTAGTGCAGGCAGATCTCCGCCGGACCCCGTTGGCCCCGTCGGATCCGCCCCTGCCTCTACGGATCTCCGCCGAATCAGCGTGTCTTGCCCGTGTCGTCCTCGCCCGCGGCATAGGCGATTAGCGATGAAGGTGTAAGCAGACGGGGCTACGGGCTAGGAAGGTGGGGGCGAGGGCCGTCGCCACTGCCGTCGTCACCTTGGCGAGGACACGGGCAGGCAGGGCCGACGTGGTGGCCAGCAGGGATAATATTATCATTTTAGCCAAAAAAAATTTCAAAAAACTGTAAAAATTTTTACAAGTGAGAATGTTAACCGAATTTTTTTCAAAAATTCATCGTATAAAAGATATATATATATATATATATATATATATATATATATATATATGACTTAACTAAATAAAAATAGTGATAATTAGTTTGAAATTTAGATGATTGAGGTAATTATAGATTATTCATATAATTAATTATGATTAATATCTCGATCTCTAAATTATTAATTTTATATATACTTTCCTAATCGACTTTCTCATCTACTTTTCTTTTCAACCTATTCGCCTACCATATCTACTCGCCCAAGTCATAGTGTTGAATGTGCAGAAAGAAAAGATTATCTTGTTGTTTTGATGCAGAGAACTACCTGCATCAGCAACAAGATGATCGAAACTACGCAGAATAACACAATAATAGTTCGTGCAGTTTTCTTTCGCTTTGCTTCGCATGAAGTGGCATCGAAACAAATATTCCTATTGCCCCTCATTCTACCATTTGAAGGATTTCAAGGTCAATTAATAGCTTTGGAGAAAACTGGTGATGATTTGCAATGAATAATTCATGGCAAGGAGTCACCGTGATTTCATTTTTGTTCTTGGATAAGGCGTATAACAGAGAGAGATAGGAGGTTTCGAGAAGAAAATAGACCTTAAAGTAAGTGATCCATTATGTGATTTTGTATGGAGAGAAGAAAGTAGTAATCCACTCAATTCATTGTTTACCAAATCTCTGCAAGTAGCTTCATGATGTTAAGCCTCAATAGAATCACTACGAAGCTGATCACCTTCTGCAGAAGAAGCACTTTTAGTATTGGATTTCACTGAGGTTGGCAAAAGAAAGTTGATATTTCGCCAGTCAATGCTCTGTGCGAAAGATTTCTGCAGAACATGTGGAACCCGTTACTGTGTTCATCCATATTCCTTTTGCTTCCTAAAATCCATATTTTCTTTTTGTGTAATTGCTGCATTATCTTCATGTTAAATTACAGACTCACACTGCAGTGATCCTTGAAACTCCAGCTACATCAACAGTACAATTCAATCCATCCCAAGCATAAGCTTTTGGCATGCATGGATCGCCCATCCAATTCCTCTTCACAGCATACACTCCTTTGATTGCCACCATCGCATCGACTGATTGAACAACATGGCAGAACGAAACAAACATAAGATACTTACAACATAAAGAAGCAATGGATGGCACTTACAATCGTGTTCTGCATTGCAGAAAACACCTCCACTGAGTTGAGGATGGTGGAATTCCTCGTGGCAACAAGGGAGACGTTGTAGTGAGTGGGTGCTGAAGTAGGGTTTGTGCTGTATACAGCGCTGGAAGAAAGGTAGTCCGGGGTGAAGGGTTTGGCATCATTCTGCGAGGTTCCTCCGAGGTAGAGGAAGAACTGCCTCGATTCATTCTGGAGCAGTGGCTTCAGCTCAGAGGAGTGTAGGACTGCATAGTATTCATCGAGGCCTCCGGGTTCTGTTGCCAAACTGAGTTCCGGTTTGATGGAGTTCACAGGGACAACTCCATAAAGATTATAATCTTAATATTATTTTCTTAAAAATATAAAGATTAGAATATTAATCATAATTAATTATAAAAAAATAATATATAATTATTCCTTTGAGACGTTGACAAAGGCACCTAAAAGTGGATTTTATGTTCAAGAATTACTTCACATTGACTAAGGCATTAAAGTTTAAATTTACGAGTCAATTGTGTTTTTAATAAATAATAACAATTAAAAAAATATGAATTTTGACTACTAACACGATTTGTCCACCCTCGAAGAGAGCGATTTGATACATAGACCCTCGTGATTCGACTTAACTATCGATCATAAAGATTTGCTTATTGTCTGTAGTTTGTTTGTCTTCGCCCAAATGATTTTAGTGATTTACTTAAAATGATAATTCTTTCTTATAACATAAGATTTAAGCACAAGTATTTTAGGAATCTAACTTTGTGATATTTCTTTTTCTGTTTATGGCCACCTCATTTTGAACAAAATCTTAGAAAATTAAAATGGTTATGAGCTTTTCTTTACAAGTATTCGTACGTAGTCAAAATTATTTCTTTAAAAGTGTGTGTGTGTATATATATATATATATATAAATATAATAAATATCATAAATTAGTGTTTTCAGTAATATCAGAAAAAAATTATCATACATTATTTTATATAATATTACATTATATTTCTAGTATTATTGAAAATAATATAGCATAGTATAAAAATATTATAATTGAATCGGTTTATCAT